ATAATGTTATATCAACTTGGTAGTTCAGTGACAGACAGGAAATGTTTTTTCATGTGTGTTTTTGGCAAAACTCTACAGCTTGGGATACTGGTGGTTTTTTTGTTATACAAAGTCTTTCATGTGGCAAAGTCACATTAGACGCTGTCTGGTTGCTCTTGGTTACGAAGGCTTTTCCTATTTGACTCACCTTCAATTTTTAGGCAAATTCTCTGGCTTCCTGCTATTGTTTCTGGGTGTCTGCAAGTCCTGGCTATCTTTTATGTGTCTACTGAAAGGAAAGACTAAGTAGGTGATAAAAGAGCTTTACATGGCCCATGTAACTTTAGAGGTGTGAATTATTAAAAACATAAAAGTGGTTGGATAAGAAACAGAATCTATAATAAATTCTAGATTCTTATCTAGTTTAATAAATCCCCCTTTTAAAATATAAGCGATAAGCCTTATCTTATTTTGTCTTTCTATAATGCTTGTCTGAAGTCTACCATTTCAAAACTTCCTCAAGTAATCTTGCTGAGTCAGGAAGACAAGTACAAACATGGGTGGTTTCCCCCTTTTGCTATGACTCTGTCTCTCTGTCTCTCTCTCTTTTTTTTGAAAAATTTTATCTTTTTTTAAAGTAATCTCTATACTCAACAAGGGGCTTGAACTTAAAACCCCAAGATAAAGGATTTGCATGCTCTACCGACTGAGCCAGCCAGGTACCCCTGCTATGATTCTGTTATAAAAATGCAAGATTGGTTCTTCATTCAGTTACTCCAATACATTCCTTCTCAAACTGCAGCACAAGAAATAGCTTTTTAAAAAAGAACTTATCAAGCTAAACAATGTGCTAAGCATTTTATACTAATAATCTCAACCAATTCTCAATAAGATCCATTGCACAAATGAAACAAATAAGGCTCAGAAAAGTTAACTAACCAAGTTTGCAAAACTAGTAAGTGGTAAAGTCAGGATTCAAACCCATGCATATCTGAAATCCAAAACCTGTATCCTTAGCCACTATACTATGTTATCTAAAGATCACTGTGGGGTAGGTAACAACTCTGTTTGTTACATTCAAACAAAGTTGTACATTTTAAAAACTCCTACTGGCACATCCATTTAGTATATTTGGTCCTCAAGATGTTCTGTGAGGGCAGTAAAATGGGTGTATGCTAGGTTCATTTCATAGATGAAGAATCAGTGTCTGGAGAGGATGATCCAGTGTCCCAAAGCTAGCGATCCATAGTGCCAGTAAGACTGTACCTGTGTCTTTTAGCAGCTGCCCTAGTGCAAAAATCCATAAAACCAGTTATTTCCTTAAAAAACTCAGAAAAAGGTAAATAAAACCTTAAACAAAAATTTGAAAGCATAATTAATCAATCTTAAATAAGGAACAATTGCTATATTAACCACAAATTCTGGAGATACCATTTTTTTCTTTTTAAAAAATGTTTTAATTCAAATTCAATTAATTAACATATAGTGTATTATTAGTTTCAGAGGTAGAGGTCAGTGATTCATCTAATGTAACACCCAGTGCTCATCACATCACGTGCCCTCCTGAATGTCAATTACTCAGTTACCCCATCTCCTGATCCCCCTCCCCTCCAGCGACCTTCAGTTTGTTTCCTATGATTAAGAGTCTTCATGGTTTGTCTCCCTCTCTGATTGTACCTTGTTTATTTTTTCATTTCCTCCCCTATGATCCCCTGTTTGGTTTCTTAAATTCCGCATATGAGTGAGATCATGTGATAATTGTCTTTCTCTATTTCAAGTCATATAATACCCTCTAGTTCCATCCATGTTATTGCAAATGGTAATATTTCATTTTTTGGCAGCTGAGTAATATTCCATTGTATATATACACCACATCTTCTTTTTCCATTCGTCTGTTAATGGACATCTAGACTCTTTCCAAAGTTTGGCTATTATGCACATTACTGCTATAAACATTGGGGTGCAGGTGCCCCTTGGGATCACTACATTTGTATCTTTGGGGTAAATCCTTAGTGAATTACTGGGTCACACTGTTTAACAAATCCTTCTTTCCCCTCTCTTGCCTGGTTCACACCCCAGCCAATGTCTGGCCAGTCTAAATTTGTGACAACCCCATTAATGGTGGCTAATATAACCCAAATCTCTACAACTCCCTGTCTTATCACATACTAGCTTATATTGCCTAGTCTGAGTATCATGCTCAATCTTAGTGGTAAGTACAGAAACCAGGTTTTAACAGTTCTTTCCATCAACTGAGTGATCACTAAAAGTTTGTTGACTAAAAGAAGGCATTTTTTGTAAGACATGTAATAATAATATTTATTAATTCCTTAATCATTAATATATGCCAGGAGCTTTGTAGGTACTTTAGACGTATTATAATATTTAATCCTAATAGCTATTTTATTTTACCCAATCTCCCAGATGTGAAAAATGAAGTACAAAGGATTCAAGCAGTTTTCCAGTAAGAGGCATAGTAAGAGGCAAGATGAGAATTTGAACCTAGTTAGTGCAGTTTAGAAGAATTAAGATTTCTAACTCATTGGCACTTACCAATTCTGTTAGGGAGTATTCTTTTAGTCTCTGATTCATTTTATAAAAATACCAGAAATGCATTCCAATAGTGTTTGCTACCGAATTGATGTACTGGATGAAAAGCTATTTAAAAAAAAAAAAAAAAAGACCTTCAAGTTTTTCTACCAGAATTAAATGGTATTCAATCATTTGGGGATCAGACCAGGAAAAAATAAATGCTGCTTGAACAGATTCTTGGCTGAGTATCTGATAAGAGCCAGCATCAAGCAGTAGATAACAACAGGGGCCTTGGAGCAAGCAAAGCTAGGATAGAGAGACAGCCCCACCCCTGTTTCCGGCCACGATCGCCACAAGCAGACCCTTAGACAAGGATCCGTGTGCCTCTTTGGCATCGTGCCAAACTAAATGTGAAGTTTCACTCCAGTTATGTCTGGGCACACAAACCATAATTTCCTATGTTTGGGACTCATTCTAGGTTACCGATTCTTCATTTGTCCCTGTTCTTTTATCCTGGGGGACTGTCCTTGTTAGTGGATGTCACAGTTTCATTTGCCTTGCGGCTTCCAGGTTTGAATTTGTTCAATAGGGAAGTAGCCCTGGTTGGAGATCACAAGGTAGGGCGAAAGAGAAGTGAGGTCTCCGCTCCACACTCTCCCTATGGGCCAGAGTTCCACAGCGGCCGTGTCCTCTATCAATGACCACAGCAGCTGTTGAATGACCCTCTTGTGTATAGTGCAAACTCTCACTGTTGCGGAACCCCAATAATTCAGTTTCTCCTCCATGTCCTACACTCCCTTTGATAGCTCTTGATGCCTCACCATCTCATTTTGATTCCTTGAACTCTGCCCATGCCTCTTTGTTAATGGTCCTTCTATCAAATTTTCTTTGCTCAAAGCCTTTCTTTGAGTGTACATCTTCCTGCTAAGGACCTGATTAATATATCCCACATCTGAAAGGCTATTCTCATTGTGGATTTCATCATAGAGGAGAGCCACCACATGTCTGTTTTTCTACAGTTTCCCTTAGATCTCTCTCTTTCCCTGTGTGCCCCTGGACCAGAAGGATTTCCCCCTTCCCTTTGTGATAGATGCATCTCCTACATCACATCTTGAATTTCACTTTTCATGTTTTGCGCAATTTTCAACTTGCCACCTTGAATCTTCTTCAGAAGCAGCTGTTACAAGTCAAAAACTGCAGGGTGAGAGAAATGCACTGACCCTGGGAACACAAGTGGGATTGGATTTTGGGGCACGAGAGATCCAAGCAGACAGAAGAACTTGTTCCCGAATAAAACAAAGAAGGCCTTAGTGCATTGAAAAGGAGGTTCTACAAGGCTGCAACAAAGACTTAAGTGAGAGTATGAGAGATGAAGCTGTCAAGGTGAATAGGGGCAAATGAATCATGCTGGACATGCCACACAGTGTGACCCCTGAACCTTTAGGTGTTATGCAGTAACACTATTAGTAAGATGGATACTATTACATATATTCAATCATGCATATTGTAATTTTGTATATAATGCTAATTAGATAGTCATGCAAAATTGCAAAGAACTCACAGAAAACAGATGTGGCCAGAGGTCACTGGGGCATGAAGGAACTTTGGAGGGGCTGGTGAGACAGCAGAACCAAAACCAAGGCAGAGTCTGATAAGTTTGGGAAACTGGTTCTACAATCTGGAGGTGTTTAGTAAGTTGTGTGGATAGGTTAGCTCAAGAATAAAATACTATGGTAGATCTAAAGATTCACAAGGATTGATCATATGATTCACATATGGATGAGAGTGAGGGCGTTGCATCACTGTTTAGACTCCAACATCCATTGATTCAAATACAGTCCTAAAACATGCTTAAATAACAGCTTATACAGAAAAAGGGAGAGTGAATGTACAATAAACTCTTATGGTAGTTTTTCCAGTGGTTTATTTAGATATAACAATACTAACATCAATTTTCCCCAGCCCGAGAGATAAGAAAGTTTGAGAGAATGCTGATTCCTATTATGTCATGCCCTTTTTCTAAAATGAAAATTTCTGGGGATCCCTGGATGGCTCAGCAGTTTGGCACCTGCCTTTGGCCCAGGGCATGATCCTGGGGGCCCGGGATCAAGTCCCACATCAGTCTCCCGGCATAGAGCCTGCTTCTTTCTCTACCTGTGTCTCTGCCTCTCTCTCTGTGTGTGTCTTTCATGAATAAATTTAAAAAAATGAAAATTTCTTAAATCCCCTATTTAAATCTGATACCCCATCCTTTGACTTTAACCAGAGCACAGTTTTTGATATCCTAAAAGAGAAGGTGATAGAGTAAGGGAAGCTAATATTTTATCATGTCAGTGAATTTACTATGTATGTAATCCTATTGCATTCTCTTAGCAACCTCCAGGGAGTCAAATAATACTCAAGGTTATCAAGCTAGAAATGGCAAAACTATGATGTGAGCCCAGGTATGTTTCATATCAAAGCCCAAGTTTATTTTATCGTACCATGTTGATTTTCTATGCTTTCTCTTCAGCAGCAGAAAAGAATGAGAATCAATTTCCTTGTTGTATCTCTAAAGTCTAGGGAAGTGTGAGGAAGACCCTAGAAAAGAGAAGAAGAATGTAGGTGAACACATTGGAAGAACAAGACGTAAGTATGATTTCAGATTTTGGAAGCCCAGCCATTATCCACAAGGAGATTATTCACCACCAACACTAAAAAATTCATTAACAATGAAGAAATTAGCTTAAGTAACACTATAAAATGTTAGGTACAGAAATAAGGAATATTTTTTCTGATATTTATGCATTTACACATTTATTAAACAACTAGGTATTAAGTGCTTCCTCTGTGTCAGGCACTGTTGTGGATTCTGACAAAAGTGTGAGAATAAGTTACACATGGTCCCTGCCCTCAGACAACAAAGTAAGAGAAGTAGATAATGGACAGGATAATATTTCACCAAAAATATTTCAGACTTTGCTCCTCAATGTGTATACAAGTTGTATGAATCCTTATCTGGCCTGGGATGGTTATTCTTAAAATCACTGATAATAGAAATCACCTCTGTGTTGGGTGATTTGAATTTTTTGCCCCTTCAGACAGAGCTACTCTTCACCCTTGTCAAGTCTCCTCTTTGCCTTGTGAAATTGACCAGTATGGATCTCATTGAAAGGCATATGTTTTGGCTTCCTCTTGGCTAAACCAATGGGAAGCCACAGCAGCACTGCAGGGAAAGAGACCTTCATGAAGCCTTGACCTTCAATGTAAGGTATTGTTCTTTTCAAGGTGAATGTATCTACATGACTCCTTTTAAGATCCAATATCAGCTTCCTGCTCTCTCTATGATGTCTTAGGAGTGGTAACAACTCAGCCATTATTTTCTAGCTCCAGGTTATTGCACATTTCCATGGGTTTCCCCTATATTCACCTGCATCTTTGTAAGTAGTCCCTTTGTAAATGACTCATCCTTAAATTTTCTTAATTTGATGTGTCTTCCGTTTCCCTGTTGAGACCCTAAAATAACACCTTTGCTGTCTCTGAAGTTTCTATTCTTCATTTACTTATTCTGCTAATGTTGATTGACACCACCCTCTCAATCAGGTGTAGGGGAGGACACAAAGATAGAGAACAATAATGCCTGCCTAAAATAATGTGCATTCTCACATACTCTTAGTAGGAACTAAATTAAAATATCTCTCAAAATTTTAAATGTACTTACCCGTTGCCTCAGAAATACCATGCAAAAAATTTAGTGGGTTCATTACAGCATTATTTGTAATAACAAGATACAGAAAACACTGGCTACATATATTATGGTACATTCCAAACAGTGGAATGAAATGCACATGTTAAAAAGAATGTAATATACCTGAATGTGTTAATATTGAAAAATCTCCAAGATATATTAAGTGAAAAAAATCAAAGTACTTGATAGTATGTTATATACTACTTGTGAAAAACAAACAAAATCCATAGGAGCAGATCTACACATAAAATTTGTTTTGGTTTTGGTTTTTGGTTGGGTTTTGGAGTGGAATGGTTTTCTTTTCTTTTCTTTCTTTTCTTTTCTTTTCTTTTCTTTTCTTTTCTTTTCTTTCCTTTTTTTGGACATATAGAATAAGAAATTTTGAAAGAGATACTTTTGGGAAGCAATGCTAAGAAGGGGAAATTGCTAGTTCACATTCTTTTAGCTTTAAATATCTGTTTCATCTTTTAAAAACCATGTGCTTGAATTAATCTTATTAAACAACATAAAAACAGGAATAGAAATGAAATCTTAACCCCCTATTTTGTTTAGCTTCCAAAATAGTAGTAATTCAGAGGAAATAAAGTAAGTCCCTAAAACAAATTTACAAGAAACAGCATCAGGACATTAAATAATATGACTTGTAAAACCTAAAATAGGAGCATATTACTTCACTTATTTCTCATGAAAATCTATTGAAACTGACTTCAAAGGCTGAACCACATATCCTTGACAGCCACTAGGGGCCTGTTAACATAACCTCTGCTTGTTTTCTCTCTTATTATTTTTGCAATACACTTATAACTGGAAGTCCCCAAACCTTGTAATTGTCAGCTAACTTTTGGAAAATGTGAATGGTTGACCAAGAATTTAAAGGGAAGGCCCCTCCTACCTCCTCTGAACTTTGTGGTGGTCTTCGGGTGCAAGATGACCTAACTCGAGCAATCCTCAAAGATGAGCCAAAGAAGAAAATAATCGTCTTTTCAGGAAAGGTTTCTTTGTGGACAGCAAAGGTCTCTGAGAAGGATTCTGTATAATACTATCTCTTTTTCCCAGAATTTATTGGTATCCATCCAAGATTTTTCACTAAAAATTAACATCCTCTTATATACAGATAGGTTTGATATCTGAGCTCAGCTGGCCCAGCCTATTTTTGCACAAAGTATATTAATATTCTTTCTATGCCTTAGACACTCTTATTAATCCAGCACAATTTCTTTTCTTCCTGTGTCTACTTTTCACAAATAATCACAACCAACCATAGATAGCAGATATTCCTAAAAGTACACAAAATATCTAATGCACATACAAAGCTATTTTGAGCTCAAAATTGCCTTCAAGAAGAATTCAGATTCTAAGCATTGTAATTTCTGATAGAAACTTCCATGCATGCAAGCATATTGTGTTAATTATTTTCTATTCTGTTTGTTTATTGATGCAGCATCTGTTGCTATTGTTACTCATGTGTGCTGTCAAGAGGCTCAATATGGAAGGTGGAAGAATGTCTTGTAGATGATCATGCCCAATGGATGGGGCATAGTATGCTACTAGTATTACCTCTGTTAACTCAGAATACTAGTCTGCTCTTTTTGAGTAATGTGATTAGTTCTCATCTACTGAGCTTCAGCCAGGTACTGGCCTAAATACTTTACATAAATTTTTGCATTTAAACTTCACGGCAACCTTTGAAATAAAGATGTCAATTCAATTTTACAGATGAGAAATGGAGGTTCAAGAATATTCTCTGGAATCACACAGCTAGTGAGAGTTGTGACTCAAGTGTTTATGTATTTTCTTCTAAACCCTAAGAGTAGGACTAACATCACAGGGCTTCAAATGCCCAAAGTGGCCATTTTGTTTTATCTCCTAAGAAAAGGAATTACCAAAAAGACCCCAATAACTTCCCTGTAGCAAAAATAAAATAGTAGTTCAAAGCCCAATGTAAAAAAAACCAAAGTCAGAAATAATATTTTCCCCTCTCACTTTGCTGCCCCCATCAGCAGCTTGAAAAGACCTTTCCCGTGGGTTTTCCTGGAAATATTTATACTCTCCAACTCTACTTAGAAGGGCTTTTATTCTACAATATTTGGGCAATATAACTATAAGGTAAAAGAGATGACAAAATTCAAGAGAACTGAACTTTATAAAAAGTCTCTTTCTGAATTGTTTTAAAATACAGACAATGGGGCAGCCCGGGTGGCTCAGCGGTTTAGCACCATCTTTGGCCGGGGGTGTGATCCTGGAGACCCGGGACCGAGTCCCATATCGGGCTCCCTGCATGGGGTCTGCTTCTCCCTCTGCCTGTGTCTCTGCCTCTCTCTCTCTCTCTCTCTCTCTCTCTCATGAATAAATGAAATCTTGAAAAAAAATACAGAAAATGACTGAGTTTGCTTATGGGAGAACAAGATTTTTCTCATCTGGAGAAATTATTCTCAGTCCTTTTCCTATAAAGGAAAGGGCAACAATTCAAATAATTCCTGAGGCTGAGTACAAAACCATAACCAGGAGAAATGCAGAGAGGCTTTTACAAACGTCTGAATTAAATCAATGATCACATTTATTGCACAGTGTTCTGCCTTCCTTTCAGTGACATCCCTGTCCCCTCAGCATATGGTATGGACCAGTCACCATATCCCTTGGAGCTCAGAGTCACTAAGAAAATGAACACTCCATCATGTCCATCAAAATCATAGAACACCAACACTAAAAGAGGCTACAGAGGTCTTGATTTCGGCTTTTTCAAATCTCCTTGCCCTGGCAACTCATCCCTCACCTTGTATTTTATAGATGAAGAAGGGTGATATGACTGTTGTCTTGCCAATAAATGGTGATATTAGGACTCGAAACCAGGTTTCTGAATCCCCACTCCTTTGTTCATACCACGACATCAGAGGACTTCACTTTGCATCCTGGCTAACTTCTTAAAAGTGGGTGATCAAATTCTCGAGGCCTCATGTTTCCCCATCTGTAAAATACAAAGAATACTGGTACTTGCCTCACAGGTTTATTGTGAGGCTTATATGAAAAGATGCCTGAGAACGGCTTAACAGAATGCTTGATACGCGGTGCCAATTTAACAACAATTATTATTATCATTATTAATGCAATGCTTTATAAATCAAGGTCTTATTCTCCAAGATGTGATGTATATGGACTTTAAAAATTGCATTTACTCTTTATAAATGCTCAATTTTTATTGCAAGTGAATTAAGGTCAAGTGTAACATAATAGAAATCTATATATAATTATTCCTCTTCTTTACCCTTCTTATGAATTAATATGTTACATGATCAGAAGAAAGAGTTCCAGATAACCAGAGAAGTATTTGCAGTAGTTCACAGCGGGAGTAGAAAAGCTCTCTGGAAAATGGTCTAGCCCATCCCCCAATTTACCATCTGTTTCAATTGTGGACCTCATGTCAATCGTCAGCATCTCTATTTGCTCATTTATTTATTTACATCAGAAATATGGTGATCTTCTTTCACTCCTACTTTCTCTCTTTTTTCCCAACACTTCTGGCTAATCAGTGGCTTAGTCTGTAAGTTTTATCACTGTACTCTGCATCTAATCTATCTTTTATCTCCATCCCACCAGTGACATGTTAACACCCATCACCTGTCATTTTAATTATAGAAGAATCTCTGTAGCTCTCCCTGCCCACTCCCTACCTCCCATTTTCCACACTACCACTGGAGGAATTTTTCTAAGACAAAATATAAGATAGTGTTACTAGCTGTTAAGAATCACTCAGGGGCCCCAACTGTCTGCAGAATAATGTCTAAACTGCTTGGCAAGATAGTCAAGAAAAAAGCCTTCAGCCTCAACTCCCACCAATCCCTACCCCCGGTTGTATGTCCTGGACATACTGAGATACTTGCAGTTTCCCAAACATGCCAAATGTCCAGCCTTTATTCTTTCTAACTAAAGAGCTCTTCTCTTGGTAATATCTTAATGCTCGACTACTATTTGTCCTCACAATTCAACTCAGGTTCTGTCTCTCTGAGGACAGCCTTCTCTAATAGGATCCTATCCTCACTTGCCTTGTCTCCTAGTCTTGAATTTTACACACCTCTATTATCATACTGTAAGGGAAATTTTTACTTGTCTCTTTCCTCCATTAATTGGAACTTTCTTGGCTAGAGGGTTGAAGTTTTCTCCTTATTGGAACCCTCATGTCTATCCAGATATAGGGCAAAGAGTAGGTACTTGGCAGATTTACTTTAATGGATAAGAACCTTCCTCACTTGTGACTGATAATCATTTGTTGCCACATGATACTTCATTTGGTCAACAATTTTCTGAGATGGAACTTTGAAGGAAGCTCATGTGTCCTTGGTTGTGGAGTGGGTTCTCACAACCGTAAAACAGGGTGTGCACAACCACAACTCTAGAGTCCTTTAATCTGGCCTGGCACCACCCTACATCTTTCTTTCCAAAGAATATGTTGGACCTTTAGATATGGTTTCTATGTAAGATGATTAGAGCCCAACATGATGTGACACTCTCTCAACTTCCATTCCTCCATCCCAGAGTCATCAGTGGAATTTTGAAATCTTCATGTAAAATATAGGATGAATAATTATAAATACTTTTCCACATAACAACTCAGAATTGTAGGTGAGGGGTAGGGTAGTAATTGTCTATAATATGAAATATGGCTAGTTCCACAGGCAAGCATTCACATGTTCACAGCTTTTTATTTTTATTTTTATTTTTTTTATTTTTTAAAATTTTTTTTTAATTTTTATTTATTTATGATAGTCACAGAGAGAGAGAGAGAGAGGCAGAGACACAGGCAGAGGGAGAAGCAGGCTCCATGCACCGGAAGCCCCATGTGGGATTCGATCCCGGGTCTCCAGGATCGCGCCCTGGGCCAAAGGCAGGCGCCAAACCACTGTTCACAGCTTTTTAGAAATTTATTGGTGGATAGGACCACATTTTCTCAAAATCTTCAAAATAACAATATAATAATAAGTAATGTTTATGTGCCCAGCGTTATTCTAAGTTCATTACATGTATTGAATCCTTTAACCCTCATGGTATCAGTGAAGTGACTATCCTTATTACCTCTATCTTAGGGATGGGAATTGAGGGACAAAGGTGATAAGTTATCTGTTTATGTTCATATGATTAGTCAGAGTAGAACCAAGATTCAAACTCCAGAGCGAACAGCTGCAAGGTTCTGACACACTTTTATATTTTGAACTGTATTTTCTTTTTTAGAAATATTTAAGTTGCCTATAAATATTAAATTTTTAGTGATACATTAAAAATTAGAAACTGCCTATGCTTTAAAAATACATTTTATTGCAGTAAAAGCATTATGTCCAATAAATACATAGCTGATATTCTTAAAAGTCTTGTTCTACAATTAAAATATTTCCATAGTATCCAACCATGTGTCTTCAAGCCCTTTTGCATGGTCATATTCATTGTCTGCTCTGGGAACAAGGAGGTAGATATGTGGCTCCAAGCCACCACTTCATCTGAGTGGGATTTGAGACCCACACAAGGAGAGACTAAAGAAGGATGAAAAAGGATATATCCTACTCTATCCCTATTTCTGCAAACTACTCATATAGAGAAGAAGAACATTTAAAATTCCTTCAGACAAATTAATGGTAGGCTTCCTTTAGAAACTCTGTTGCTGGCCAAGAATCTGTATAGGTTTGTATAGAGCTGAAGGGCTCATAAAGATTTTCCATTCATCATCAAAGATGTAGAAAATGCTTAACTAGAGGAATGGGAACAAAATTAGCCTCAAATTCACTCTTTATCTTTGGCTTCAATTCACTTAAGTAGAACTATTTGTTTTCTTCAACCAGATTAAAAGTTCCTCGAATAAGGAAACTTTTCTTCTATTTATTTTCTCTTGCCTTCAGAACATGGTACAATGGAAAGCACATGGATTGTACTTAGTGAATAGGATTCAGGTGAGACAGACACCTCCTTTCAAGATCCAAAATTTCTCTGTCTGAAAGAGTTGTAGAGAAGATGGTTTCTAAATGCTCCTTTACAAGTAAGTATTTTGTTTTTTTATGTTATCATAGAGTCATTATTGCCATTATATCTTTGGAACCTACTCTTTATTATCCTAATACCATAATACTCATTCCCTGGAAGACAAAGAAATAGTGAATGGTGATCAGACTCTGAGGCTAAAGACTCAATTATGCAGATTGCTGGTGGCCTCCCAGATGATCTTTCTGGCTTCAGTTTTGGCTTTTTAAATCCAATACCCATATGGAAGTCAGAGTGGTCTTAAAAAAGCAGAAATATGATTGTTTTAGTCTTGTGCTTAATACCACAAAGTACCCTTGTATCAAGTCTAAAGACTTAATGAGGATTACAAAGGCCCTTAGGAGCTTTGTGCTCTGAGATACTATACTGTACTCCTGCCTCCCTTGACTACCTCCAGAGGAATTAGGCCGTCTGTTACATGGTACTGCAACATCGTGTACATCAGTTGTGAGAGGTCTTACACATTGACTATTGCTTGCTGCTGTAACAGTCATCCCCCAAGTTAGACTACAGGCTTCATGAGGGCAGGAACTATATTTGCCTTTGCTTATCTTCTAATTATTTTCACCTTAGATGGTTCACATTTAGCTCAAAAAATAATTGTTGAATGAATAAATGAATGAATGAATGAAAAAATACCATACTACCATTAACTAGCCAGTATGATTTTTATTCCTACCAGCAGGAGAAAATGTTTATCTACCCAGGATGACACAACCACATATGAGTTAACTTTTAAAATAGCTTTTACTTTTTCAAAAGGGAGATTAGGGAGCATTCTTATTTTAAAATAGAGATAATAACTCCGTAAGTTTCTGTGTCATACACTTGACATTTTACTTTTTTCCTAAAGTCTGTCCTTTATACTACTGTGCAATTTCAATATGATATATGATAACATATTAAACCTTTCCTTAGCCAGGTATCCAGCAATTATTCATTTAATATGCCAGACATTCTCTTAGATGTCAAAGAAACCAAGATGTAGAAGGTAAGACTTCTTTTTTCTAGGAATTTGTACTAAATAAAGGAGACAGGCAGATAAACACAATAATACTCACATCTACTAAATACTGAGTACACACTTTGTGTGGTGGGTATATGCTTTTCTCACTTAACACTTACATGGACCTTCCAAGGTAAATTAAGAAAATCAAAGGGCAACTGGTCAAAGGCCACTCCACTAAGAGCTGAGTTAGGATTTAAAACTAGGACTGTCCAATTTCAGAGCTCACCATATCACATTATGATACAAAATTTTAAGTACTCTAAATCCAGACCTAAACACAGGAGGCAAGATAGGAGATAGGAATTTTCCCACAGGCAGAGAAGGGAAGGTCTGTGTGCATTGTGCACTCATATATACAAATTGGGGCTTTAGAAGAAAAGATATTTCAGCTATGGAGAGAAGTTAAATTCACAAAAAAAAAAAAAATTGGTTAAGTTCCCAGAGGAATGCCAGAGCCTCATAAGGTAAGCTAAAAGTAATTAGCTGTTACTGGTGAACTGGCTACATACAAGAGAGTGGCAAGAAATGGAATGTCTCTCTGATTAAAAAACAAAAACAAAAACAAAAAAACTTGTACTTTGCCTTACTGGCAATGGTATTTTAAGTAGGCACATGATGGCTGGATTTGAATTTGTATAAAAGATCATTAGCTATTTACAAAGGATTATTTGGAAGACAGAAAGACTGGAAGCAGAGACTGGTCCAGACAACAGCAAATAAGGATTTGAACTAGGGAAGTATTGTTGGAGCTGGAGAAGAGGTCACTAATAAGAATGTTTAAACGAAAGAATCAATATGGGTGTCTGGGTGGCTCAGTTGGTTAAGCATCTGCTTAACTATGATCCCTGGGTTCTGGGATGGAGCCCCCTTGGGCTCCCTGCTCAGCAGGGAACCTGCTTCTCCCTCTCCCTCTGTTGTCCTCCCCTCATGCTTGC